TGGGATCCCTCAACATCATCTGAGCCGGGACTTGCTAGCTCGTTTTTGCGACCTTGGTTTCGACGGTTTTCCTTGCACCATGCGGTTCCTTTATGCTGAAAATCTTGCGTGTGTGGTCAGTTTGCAAGTCAGTACTCTCAGATCGCTGCATTCTGCATGGCGTTGCACGTCAGGTTTGCCAGAGAAGAGAAGGAGGCAGGTGTCTGACAAGATGCTAGGCTGCTAGACTGTCTGTCTTGAGGCTTCCGAAATATGCTGTGAGAGTTCTGATGGGCTTCGTCCTTGGCGAGATCATGGGACCTGCGACGTTTGCAGGTCCATCGTGGAATGGCACAGTCGTGTCAGTTTTGTTTGGCTGGTGTCGATGCAGGCGGTTGGGCTTTCTTGATGGCATATACTGGCGTCACTCGGCTGCTTTCGCGGGAAGGGGTTGCACTGAGGTTTGTTCTGCATCCCAGGTCGTTTATCTCATCTCGATTGAGTGCCGCAGCAGATCCTGAGCAGTAGGGACGCTTGCCTTGCATCTACTTTGTGTGTCAGTGTGTCTTGTTTGGCACAGGTACTCCCGACTGATTGCCGGTGTGCTGGAGCCCCCGCCTGTAAGGTGCGAGGGGAGAGGCAAGTTGGTCCGGAAATACTTGAACTCGCTGTGCCAGGGCCCAGCGCTGGGCTCTTTTCCTTGTAAGTGCCTCCATCCTCCTGGCTGCCCACTGCAGAGCTGTGACCTTAAGATCTTCGGGCACACTGAAACATGCATCTGGGACAAGCAATAGACCAAGGTGCTTACCGGCATCTTTGAATGTGCCGCGGCAAGGACGCCCAGGAGTATAGACAGAGGATGGCCATACAACATCTTGAGAGAGAAGTCGCGTAAGGTCACTCTACTGGTTCTGCTCTTACTACTCCAAGGTTGATTGGGGTTGAAATCAAACATGCTTGATGTAGTGCCAGACTTTCCAGATTTCGATTCTGAACTGGTCAGAGGAAACATTAGGATGCCAGATGGTTCATCACCAATTTCGCTGGGACCTGAGCTTCAAGGAATGACAGGCATTGGGGAATCTGCCGGCTGACCCCTTTCAAAGTGTCTGTAAGGTTTTCTCACATCGCTTCCCAAGTTTTCGGCGTGTTTTACGTCGGCTACTTGCCATCCTTCTGGGTACTTCCGGCACGTCCAGCCTTCCTGACGTGCGCAAGGCAGCATAGGCAGCCCATATTGCACGTGTTGCTTCCCATGATGCCAATCTAGACACTTGCCACACATCTAGTTAACCTATCGGCGACGTCGTCAGTCACCGCGGTTTCATGGCGATGCTCAGTTCGCTCTTTAGTGGCAATCATTGATGAGTGCGATCCTTCGAAGCCCGAAAGAAGCCATCACGAGATACGGGTGAACCAGAGGGTGACGGTCGATCCATAGCAACTTGCGATATGTTTGAGGTCAATGCAGCCTGCTTGGGTTTGGAGAGTTTGTGTTTGCCCCATGTTTTTGAACCAATGCACGGCGTGCGTGGGTCTTGTTTTTACCTGCCGTCTTGTGGGCCCACGTGGGGTCGAATCGTGTACGGAACTTTCAGAAATGCGGAGGTCGATTCGACGTCAACCCTCCCTCAGCTCTGGCAAAGGGGTTGCCCTTCTCTACGCCCTCGCTTCCATCTTTTAACTGGACTGCCAGGTTCGCTTGCGCGCTATCGGTCCTGCTCTACCCAGTGGTGCACCAACAGGCGCAGCCATGCATGACGGAATCAGGATCTGCTCCCAGTCTTCTGGCACGGCTGTTGTTGACGACGTAAAACTGAAGTGAAACAGATTGAAACGGAGGCATGAACATGTCCATCACGCCTTGGACTGGTTGATTGCCGCTCCGGTAGCTTCTGGCCATCTTCCGCACAGCAAAGCTGTGCGAAGTCTTTTATTTAGGCCCCTGTCTGCTGCCACTTAGCCTGCACCCGGATTCGTGCCAACTACCCTGCAGCTGTGTACTACATTGGCTGTGCACTGCATCATTTCTCCTGCCCAATAGCTGCAAACGCAACGTTAAGCGTGAACTGAGGTGATGAATCCAAGAATCCGAGCAAGCCTTGTAGCAGTTCTGTCAGCACTGGGTGCCCTTCTCTTTGGACTGGACATAGGCTGGTCGATGCGGAATAGTTATGCCAATAAATCTTGCGGCATCAGGGTGCTCCTCGTCCCTGTGAGGATACATCGCTCCAATCTTGGAATGTGCATCCTTCAAACGAGATGTGGCCCACATGGCTGACTGGCAAAATCCTCGTTCCAAGATCGATGACTACACTTCAGGTCTTCCTGTTAGCACGCAGGGATCTGGGAACATCGCGAACAGGGAATTGGTTCGTTTTGTGTTGTCAAACCACACCCTGCAACGTACAGGATTCATTGTCGGCGTCTTCTCCCTTGGCTGTGTTGTTTCTTCACTTCCGCTGCTGAGCTCCTACTTCCTGGACGGTTGGGGGCGAAGAAACTCCATTATCCTTGGGTCCGCCATTTTCCTTCTTGGCAGTTGCATGCAAGTACTCTCCGACTCAATCCTCATGATGCTGTGGGGCCGCTTCGTTTCAGGACTCTCAATCGGGCTCCTGAGCACAGTGGTCTCCTTGTATCAAAGCGAACTGGCACCGTCCAATTTGCGAGGGTGCTTGACCTCCATATACCAGTTGATGATTACAGCGGGGATTCTCCTTGCTGCCCTCATCGACCACGGGCTCGTTCACAGAGAGCCGAATGGCTGGCGCTGGGCGATTTCAATCCAGATGGTGCCAGCAGTTGCTTTGCTCCTCCTGATGCCCTTCATGCCCAGATCCCCACGGTGGCTCGTGCAGCAGGGTCGCGACGATGAGGCGCTGGAGGCTCTGAGACTTGTGCGGGATGAAACGGAGGCCGAATCCGAACTGGCAGAGATCCAACGAAGCCACGAGGAGGCCAAGGCCCGGGGCCAAAGACTCCATTAACGGTTTCATAGGATGTCATAGGCCCTGTCATAGGTCTTCCATAAAGGGCAGGAGACAGAAATTTGTCCTTCTATGGCCCCACGCCAAGGCCTTCGGTAGTCTTCATTGGCGGGAACTGCTGAATGGACGTGCAGGCCAGCTACTTCTCCTTGGTATCACACTGCAGATTCTCCAACAAATGTCTGGAATGAATGCATTCATGTATTTTGGTCCTAGGATATTCCTGGACATCGGTTTCAGCCCAACAGTATTCCAAACCTGCACGAGTTTGGTGAACTTCTTGGCTACTTTTCCGGCCTTGTTGCTCGCGGACGCTTGCGGGCGTCGCAGCCTTCTGTGGTGGAGCGCGCTGGGTATGATGGTGGCGTCCACTAGCATCGCCGCTTTTGGCCATGCAGCCACAGCAAGACCCGAGAACGATGCCCACGTTGGAGTGGGCAAGTACGGTAGCTATGTGGTGGTCAGCATGGTCTTCTTCTTCGTTGCCAACTTCGCTTACGGCTGGGGTCCCATTGTGTGGGTGTACAGCTCAGAAATGTTTCCCCTGCGGTACCGCAGTCAATGCATGGCAGCTGGAGTTTGTGCATCTTGGATTGCCAACTATGCAATCGCTCAAGGCACACCTGTGTTGCTGGGAAAGCTGGGGTTCTTCACGTTCTACTTCTTTGCGGTCTTTGCTCTGGCTGCGCTGCTGCTCGCCCACTGGCTTCCTGAGACCAAAGGGGTAATGTTGGAACATGTGCAGAAGCTCTTTGATGAGAAGTTGGGGAGCCGCACTAGCCGCAGCGATTCAAGCTTGCGAAGCAAGTATGGTTCAACTTTGTTAGAGAAGGATGAGCCTTTGGCAGGTTCGTAGATGTCTGTCGTGGAAAAGGACCCGATCGGGACTTTCTCGTTTCCATAACTGAGTCTCGTTTTATCGGGTGCTTTCAACATGCTGCTCAAGATTGCCCAAGAATGCAGCGAGCGCTTGCAAGGGAATTGTTGCTCATCGCCCGGAAGAGGTGCATCGTCAGAAGATCTGGAAGCAAGTATAAGCAGAATAACAGTAGACAAGCACGACACTTCTGCCGTCGTCAGTACATGTGCAAGTTCTAAGCCCAATACTTTACTGCATACTGCGGAAGCTCATGGCTCATGGCTGTCTGGTGGGAGCCCACGCAGGATGAGTTTGCCGAGAGGAACGGTGAATCGCCCTTCGTGGCACCCGATTTCCTGGAAACAAGCAATTTCCAGCATCTTTACAAGGCGCGTGGCCGCAGAGTCTGTCGCAAGCAATGTATCATGGTTTCTCCGAATGTATCATGGTTTCTCCCGAATGTGGTCTGTCACCTTACTACCTGTAGGATGTATCATAGTAGTGATGCTGCCTCCATCAGCAGCAGATCGCATAAGCTCAACTCGCAGCTGGCAGCACCCGCACGGAGACAGCAGACGGCCTCTCAGTGCTCGATTTGATTCGATGGCTTAGCAGGCCTGCCTGCCGCGAGCAAACGACGGAAAACAAGCGATACCTAACCAGCGAATGCAGAGGTGTGTCATTCTTGCGGACATAACCGAGCACAAGCTTCACGTGTCATCCCCCTGTACGCACATCCAGAGAAGAATGCTGTCAAGTTCGCATTCGAAGATGGGGTTTGATATAAAGCATTATGACCATTATGCTTTCAGGTCTTGTCTTTCTGAAGATGTTTGCAGTTGTTACTGTCTCTTGGGTTCTTGCGCCCTGGCAGGGCACCGGCGAGCCGCGACCTGTCGATGCCAAAGAGCTGGCGGCCTCATTTACGTGCGCGGTGAACGCTTTCGTGCAGCACTACTGGACCTGTCACAAGGATTATGAAGTCACGATGGACAGGCAAGTCGAGGGATCTGGTCATCTAGCACTGGAGGACGCAAGAAGACGAGACAGTCCAACAGGAGGTTTTTGTTGTTCGATTTTGCCCTATTGCAATTCACGGGATACATGGGACTTGCGCACTTACGATATTCGCATGTCAGGAGATGATGCCGCAATGGCATGATGATCTAGTGGATCACTTCAGTGTGGGTGTGGATCCAGAGGCCGGGTGAGCCCAAGCGCACGGCACATTGTGTGAATGCATTGTGACAATCTAGCTTCGCCGTCAGGCAACGATTAGAATGTACACGAGTGGGACTATGGTTGCTGTCCGGAGAGTCTTTCGAAACTGTGCTTTGGAAGCGGATGGCGTCTCGGTTTACCCACCTGATGTGTCACTGCCTGACGGATTCAAGCTGGGCCAGGTTGGACGGCCTACATCCATTACATCCACGGATGAGGAAGGCAATTCCACGCAGGTCCTTTTCCGGCCGTTCCAATACCCGGAGGATATTCCAGGTTTGGATTACCATGACTTCATCAACACCAACTTCTCTGAGTGGACTGGCAAGCGGCCAGTCCATTTTTTCGAGCGTAAACCCTTCCACAGAGCTTTGAACTGCGCAATCTGCCAAGATGCTCCGAACGTTCTGAAAGCGGTAATGCAAATCATTATGGATATGAACTACTTCATCAACTCTGTTCATCACGGGGGTGGCGTGTTCTACAGTGGTGTGGGCATCGGGGAGTCCATCCGTTTGGTGAAAGAAGGTGCAAAGCTGCGCATGCCCCGATTTCTCTCGACCACAACCGAGCTCAAGTTTGCGAAGTCGCGCTTGACTGACAAAATTGGTCCAGCCTTGCTGGTTGTGCGAGTTCCTCAGGGCTTCTGGGGTGCACGTGACATTTCGGCCTTTTCTTCTTGCCCAGAAGAAAGTGAGACAATGTTTTGTGCTTACGCTTTGTTTGTTGTGGAGCGCGTCTCATCCATGCGGATGCAAGGCCAGCAGGTGACCCGCATTGATCTCAAAGCTTTGGACAAGTATGAGGGAATTTCTTATGATGATGATGTATACCCTCCCTTTCATCATGCTCATATCGATCTAGCCGACCTCGATGGGCACGGAAGCTACGTGCGGCAGAATTCATAGGTTCACACACTAGGTGGGAGCCGGTGAGGTGGCACAATCTGCTCTTGCCGCTTCTTCTCACGGAGCCCTGAGCGTCCAAAGAGCAAAAAGGATTCCATGCCAGACGTCTTCGACCGTAGACTGTGTTCAGGCAATCCCTTGTACATGGGCAGGCTTTCTGACTGACTTTGTCCGCCTGATCCGATGGCCCCTGGAGCGCAGTGTCGGTTGCTGCGCAGCTTGTCAGGCAACATAACAGTCGCATTCATACCGCTGCAGCTTTAAACACGGGAATAGCAGGCAGAACTTGATGCTGATGCCCAAGCTTGCTGCAGCTTGCCGCATGACGAAGTCAATCAGCCAAGGTTACGGTCTCTTGCGTGCTGTGTATCATCGCAGCAGATTCTTGCGCCTATTTCGGAGGCTGTGCACATTGAAGTGCAACTTCCCCTGTCACAACTTGGTAGAGACTTTTCGAAGACTCACGCAGCTTGAGGCAAGCACTTTGGCAAGCGGCCGCTCATCGTGGTCAGTCCAAACAAAACGCAAGAGGCGTGCTGCAACAAGTTTGTGCATCACTTGCGCAGGCAGATTTGTTTCAATGGCCGACTGTGCCGAGGGAGCCTACTGCGGTTTGTTGGGCTCTGTTCTCATGGCACTCCTTTGCGACAAGGCTCTGCAAGGGCACGGCGCGGTGTAGAGGAGGGAGAAAGCGGGCAGAGATTGCAGGCGTGGGGTTTCCCGTCCGACCCACTCATCTCCGGGTGCACAGCCCAAGCTGCAAACGACAAGTTTGTGAGCCAGAGGGGACGCATCCCTGCTGAGGCTGGTCGGAGCACTCATCTTCTGCGCGAGCCTTCTGGGAGACTTGGTCGTTTCTGTCGCTTGGAAGCATGTCGGGACCCTCGAAATCCATCACCGTCATGGCAACCTCCGAGGCTATGAAACGAGACGCTCAAGTAAAGGACGGCCAATTCGCAGCGCATCTTGTGGATCCCCCTCGTTCTGTTGAGAGGACACAGGATCACTCATCCCAGGGCACGGCGGCATTTTGGACCGCTTTGATTCCTACTTCTTTGCTGCCCCTGTCGCATACTTCTGCTGGTGACCACCCCGAGACCATGCCTAGAGATCATTCAGGGCAGGGCAGTGGCGTTGACCGAGAGCCGCTCGAGATTTGTCGCGAGGTACGCCTATTTGAAGTATCACAGCAACTTGCCACCTTCTCTGATTCGCTTCAAGTCCTAGGTTCCGCAATGTTCCCTGCCGGTACCGGCATCATGTTTCATTTGGTTCAGCTAGCAGAGCCAAAGTGCTCTGCTGCTTTGCCATGGTTTCGCAGGCGAAGAGGCAAAGAGAGCTCGGTCTTCGGGGTGAAGCGTTGGCTGCACTGTGTCCTGACGTGGCAAGAGAAGCTGAGAGTACATTGACGTCGAAAGTGCGCATGCGAAGACTATCTGCGGGCTCGGAGAAGCTGCATGATGTGAGCTCAGCCAAGCAGCTAAGCCATTGACCTGACATCGTCACATGGTGTAGCACAGTAGCAGGGCCGGTACATGTGATTTCGCTTGGAACACCCGACATGCTCAGCTCAGAGCTTGCGGCTTGAACATCGTGGCCCCATGAGGTCCTCCTGCATGTGCCGACCTGCTTAGCGAAACCAAAGCAAGGTGTTGAACGGCCCTTTGCAAAAGGCTTCAATTCCGAAGCGCCGTGGATGAACGAGGGCACCTTCGAAGTGAAGTGGAGGCTGGAAGGAGGACTTGATTGACTTGATCACTTGGGGAAGTTCTTGGGGGCGTACGACAGGCCCTGCAATCGGAACGCGATGCCTTGGCAGCACAGGCCGGGCATCTTCTTGCAAGGCAGCACGCGGAGCATCGACCGCTTGGCAGCCACCCTCGTTTTTCATTGCTCATGGCCAGCTCGAGGGCTCGGGCTGCGGGTTGCTTTCAGGTGGAGCGTCTCGAGCTCGAACGTGTGCAATTCGCTTCGGCAGCTCGGCCAGAAAGGCAGCAAGGCTCTGGAGCGACGGATGCGAGGGCACAATCGAGGTGTTTTCTTGATCAGAAGTGCCCTAGGCACAAGACCTGGACAAGCAGGAACGACGAGTTGGGGTGCTGTTACCTTTCATTGTGACATGTTGGGTCCTCTCCTGGGCATCTCTGCAAGTTTCACCAGAAATCGGAGGAGTTGGAATCGACGGTGCAGTCTTTAGTCCGAGAGATCAAGGCCTTGGTCCCGGCTTTGTTTACCTGAAGTTGCTTTCCGTGTGGCGCTGGGTAAAGCCCAGGCTTGCCAGACGGAAGCATCGGCAGCCAAGGATGAGGTGCCATGTGCCCTAGATAACCCATAGCTTGGGATGCTGCGTCCTTAGAAGTCTCAGGAACACCTTCCTTCAGTTTAGAGAGCACGATCCGTGCCTGGATAAACTTCGATCGACCGTGCGATCTTCTTCCGAGAGCCACGTTCTTGAAACTGGTAAGGCCTGGTAGAGGAGCTCTTGCAGCGGGATGGACGGTTGAAGTTATGTGGTGTTTTGGTTGTCTGTGAGGTTCGAATTCAGCAGCTCACTCACGCGCATGAGACTTTGCTAGAACAGTGCTTGAAGGGTCTGGCATGGTCTGGCCTTCGAGGTGCAGCGCTTGAGCAATGCACTAGACGCGGCCCAATCCTTGTGTGAGCATGCTGAGGACAGGGTCTCAGAAACGTTTGCATCCTTGGCATGTTGGGTCGATACTCTTCTGTTGTTTCTTGGAGGCCCGAGCCGTTGCGGCAGAGGTATCGAAGACGGAGGCATGCTTGCGTCGTGTGTTCGATCGCCCCGTCTTCCCCCATCTTCTATAATTTCGTTTAGTGTGGATGTGAACCTCACAGGCAGTGTGTGTGGTCTGAAGAGGCAAGAGAGGAGTAGCCGGCCGCCAGGCATCTGCTCAGCATCGCTTGGCCGAGAGCAGCGTGCGCTTCACTGTACGGCCAACATCATTTGGTTTGGACGGCCGTTGTCGGAGGTACAGCGACTCACCACAGACATCGAGGCAGGTGGTATGCTTATGTGTGGTAGTTAATTGTCTGTGCATCAGACTTGCCCAGGCACTGAAAGCCAGCAGCAGCTTGGCGTTGCGCAGGGCCGAGAGATGCGATGCAGCGGAGGCTGAGGCAGCACGCCTCCAGGGCGAGGTCTGTCGCCTGCGTCAAGAGGAGCAACGACTCCGGCTGTTGGAAGAGCGCTTGAGCCAAGCGCAAGCTTGGGTTCACGACAAGGAAGCACTTGAGAAGCGTTTGGACCAGGCCCTCAGGAGGGCGGATACGGCAGAGAAACAGGCGAAATCCTTTGAAGACAATGCAAAGTCCCTGGAGTTAAAGCTGCTCGCAGCCACTACAGAGCTGGAAGAGTCAAATCTTGCTGTGCGAACGGGGCACGAAAGGGAACGATCCCAAGAGGCAGAGCTCAGGAACGTCGAGATGGCACGGGCCGAAACGGGGAGGAAGCTGGCAGAAACTCTGCAAGAACTTGCAGACCTTGAGACCAAGAGTGCATCCTTCCGTCGGAAGGTAGATGCTGACCTTTCGGAGGTTAAGCTGCAGCTTTCTGAGAGCTGTGCTCGGTGTGATCGAGGCGCTGCCGAGCTCGAGGCTGAGCGAGGGAAGAGCCAGGATGCAGTGAAGAAGCTCTCGTTCATGGAGGAGCAGCTCGCGACCCGAGACGCCGAAGTCTGCGGCTTGCAGGAGCAGAGCGCCGGCTTGCGGCGGGACCTGGTGAAGGCGAGCGCGGCACGGGAGGCTGCAGAGCAGCAGATGGCTCCGCTGGCCGCGGAAGCCGCCAGGGCCTGCAGGCTCAGGGAGGAGTCTGCTACGGCCGCCGCGGCGGCCCAGCAGGAGGCGACCTCCTGCCGCTTGGAGGCAGAAGCCACCCGCATGGCGCACTACGAGCAGGAGCCCTGCCGAGCTCTTCCTTCGAAGCATTTGCGGTTTTTTCACACCTAGATGCACTTGTGCCTAGCTCAGTACAAAGTAACTGGATTGGCTTGGCCCTTGGGCCAAGTACGCAAGCGGGCAGGCCAAGAGGCTGGGAGGGATAGGGCTAGCTAGTGGAAACAAGCGTAAGACAAAAGTGTAAATGTAGGCAGGCCTGCCTACTGAGGCAGCAGCAACACGAGTAGCAGTCGGCAGTAGTCGCTTAGGGGCAAACTTCGCCGAATTTCAAACAATTTCGGGTTCCGCCCAAGCCGCCAATAAGTAGACAACATGTGGTATTTTGGTTGAGGTTTCGGTTTAGGCGAACTCTTCAAGTGTGCTCCTTCAGTGGTGTTTGACTAGTTGGGCTTTTCCAACAAACACGACAGTAGCTAACACATGTGGAATTGTGGTTTGTTGTTCAGGTCTTAGGAGCCGCACAGCTGCATTTTCAAATCAGGATGTGTTTTCCATCAACCACCCAGACGCAGCAGAAACAGACGCAGTTTTCTATTGCGCTGTTTTGGGATACTTCGGCTGATTTTCAGCAAGCTTGGGAAACGCAGACTCTCGAATTTCAGTGATTTAAATTTGGATCCTCAAAGCACCCAGCGCGAAAACACGAACGGAGACCCCAACAAGCAACGTTCAGTGTCCGAAAGCACCGAGGCGTGTCGACCTGTTCTTCGGGTCTGACGAGCCAACCGAAAACCTTGCGAGCGCCAAATTCCAACGGTTTTGGATCATGTTGAGCATCCTCAAAACACTGTCGTCTGCCTTGAGAAGCCTTTGATTTGATGGCAACTTTTTAGACAGGCGAACTCCCCAGAAGCGCTGTCTCAGCGATGTTTGACTAGACTTGTTGTTTCGCCTTCTGCTGTGCTTATGGGTTTCGGGTTGTCTGGTTTTTCGTGTAAAATCTGTATTCAATGCAACTTTTCGACTTTTCGCAGTTCGGCTTTTCGGGTGCCGTTTGGTATTCTCCGCTTATCTGCGCCAACAGCCATTCGCGAACACAGAGTTTGGCTAAGATCTCGGCTTGACATGCCTTTGTGAAGTATCGTGAAGTTCTGGAAGTTCCACGATGGCATTGTGCACTTTCTTGACTGGTGTTATTGTGCAACTCTTTCTGTAGACTATGGCGCTGGATCCTTGCCATAGTGGCTAGTGTTTGCATGGCGACGAGTCTCGTCTGCACACTAGGTCTTCTGCAAGATTGCAAAAGTCATCTGTGCTCGTGTGAAGAAGGTTAGTTCAGGATGAAACAATAAGTATCGACAGGCAAACAGACGGAAAGCAAAGGCGACACGATGGGACTTCCTTGGGAACTTGCGAATTGTCAATTCTCTGGCAGGACCGTGAAGTGCAGAGGCTAAGAGAACGTCTGGCCGTGCAAAGTGAGGAGTTGGAGAGGCTGCAGACACTGCTCGCCTGGTGCTCTGTGTTGCTGAGCTTTACAGTCCGGTTTTTGCCTAGCGATGCAGAAACTCAAGACTTGAGGCCATGGGCGGTGGTCCTGTGCTCGGACTTCGCAGCGGCAGGAGTTAGATGTGTCCAAGTGTGACTAAGGTGCAGACGATGTGGCTGCAATGTCCGCCGCGCAGATGTACCTAAGGGGTCCCAGTCCACGCTCCCACATTCGAGATGAGCTGGCCTTCGTGCGCAAAGAGGCCTGGGCCTAATCTTTCACGATTTGTTTCCTGCACTAGTGGTACTCGTTTTGGTTTTCGCGAGACTCGAAGCGGCTGCCCAGCCTTGCCTCCCGCCGTCGTGGGGCGGCCCAGCAGTAAAAGTCCGGTCACCGCGTATCGCTGTCCACTCTGAGACCCGACGCCTAGCTTCTCCGCGACTTCGCGACGCTCCGCTGGCTTTGCAGGCCCGCTTTATCCCACTTTGCCGACTTAGCTCCATGTACGATCAATCTCTCTCGTGGACAGGGGCGGTCAAACTCCAGGTCACGCAGGCAAGACGCAGCTCTCCACCTCCGATGTCCATTGGCCTCTTGTGTTGGAGAGGCCGTCCAGCTTCGCCAGCACTGCTGCACCAGATGATGAGCTATGAGCAGTGCACGTCAACTCATCGACTTAGTGCAAATCATTGTCCGCAGCAAGTTCTGACGGCAGCAAGAGTATCGGAAAGTGAATCTGTTCAGGGGCTTTGGGCATCACGATAGTTGAAGCGAACCGTTGGCAGGAGGAACGTTACAATTTGATGCCTTTTCAACAATTCAGTCGGAGAAGTTTGATCTTGGATGCATAACAAGTGTGTCCTGTGTTCATCTCCTGCATGTGTAGTGTCCAAGAAGACACTACAGAGTGTGACAAGAGTTTGCAGCACCTCGTTGAATGCTGGACTGTAGCAAGGGGCCTGATGCTGCACAAGCATTTACCAATGCAAGGCAGTGCAAAGAAGAGCTTGTGGTTCTCAGCAGCACACGAGCATGATCCATAGAAGCAGCTTAAAGCTTAAGGGAGACACGACGTGTCCCGCCCCCAGGAGTCCCTGCGCACGAACTCGCTACAGGCTTCAGGCTTTAGGCATCGCAAGGCTACTCTTTTCTTCGCCAGACGAAACAGACGAGCCATGTCCTTCGCTTACACCGACATGGATCCATCGATGCCCTCGCCATGGTCTGCCTGCTCTGTTTTGCTTAGCAGAGTCTGCTGTAGACTTCGTGGGACTGCCTTTTTGGAGAAGCCAGGTCCTTGCCAAAGGTGCCGAGGACCTTGTCCACTCCTGGGTGCCCAGACCGGCGGCTCTATCATCACGTGCTGCAAAGGGTTGCTTCTGCGAGGTATCCGGGCTACCCTGGGCTTTCACAGGTAGATGGCTCGGGAAATTTCTGGGGCCAAGTCCATGTGTCACGCGCTCGTCCCTCAGATGACGATGGGCTTTCCAGCCCCTGCTCTTCCAGGACCGTGGCATGCGTGTTCTGACCTGCTTGATGCACTTATTCATCTTGTAATTTCTCGAGAAATCTCCGATCTCGGAGGAGATATGTCTCCTTTCCACCAGCCGGTGCTGCTGGGCAGGCGGTGCATCTGTAGGGGCCGTGAGTTCCCGCGTTGAGCTTCCTGCATAAGGTCGCTGTCACACGCGATGACGGCCTCGCCCATGATTCCACAGATACCTCATGCCCCTTCATCCCCATCGGGGCTAGTCCACTCAACATCACATCTGCTGAATTTGCAGAGCTTGATGCCGTCGGTATCCCACTCCCAGACCTCCATGTTCCAACCTGTCCTGGGCTTAGTGCTTGCAAGCTTCCTTCATCCACGCATCGCATATCGCCTGCCTGCCCAGGCAAATTTCCAATTCACCTTCAACGCAGAACCCTCCACGAGCGAAGCCAGGCTCGAAAGACGCTGGCATGCGCGTCTCAGTCAAGGACCGAAGTGCTGACAGGCAGCCGGCAGAGCCCGTGACTGCACCTCAGGCAGACATCAGGGCTTCGAGGTTTCGGCGCTTCATGCAGCAGTGGCACTGGCAGGCCGACCTTGCAATGGGCGGGACATCCGCGTGCTCGGCATCCGCAGCGCCGTGCGATTCGCATGCGCTAGCAGCACCTTCGCAGTCATCTGTGCTTGTCTCAAAAGATGGAGGCTGCCCCATGGAAGCTCCAGACATGATCTGTTCCAAGGTGCATCGTAGAGAGGCCCAGCGGCCGGCCTTGGGGGTGTGCCAGGCGACTGCTCGATGCATCGTTCGATGGAATGCTGCTGTGGGATCTGTGGGGCCCTGTCGCAGGAGCCGATGAACTGCGACACGCAGCTCAAGCAGTGCATCGCCGAATGCAGGAGAGTGCTCGAGGCTAGGCGAAAGGGAGCTCGAGGTAATTGTTACGAGTGGCGGGTTTTTTGGGGCTCCTCAGCCTCGGCCTCGGAAAGCCTCAAGCGAAGGCCAAGGCAGCTCAGTGCCGCAGCGCCGGCAAAAAGCCTGGGGGCCCAGTGCAGTTTGCGTTGTGAAATCATGTGGTATCGTGAGACAGTGAGTGCAAAGCTGAAGTGATTTCTGTTCAGTCCAGGTATGTTGATCCGGACTTTCCTTCCGACTCAAGATCTCTGTGGTTGAACGGTCTCGCATCCCAGTTCCAAGAGCGACCCATCCTGCGATTGTCTGGGTTTCTCTTCCCGATATCACCATCCCTTCCTTTGCCGCAAGTCTTCGCGTTTGGCTCATAGTCAATGGTACATGCCAAGCTCACAGTGCTCTCCATTTGGCCTTCAATTGCCGGCACAATATCTGCATACAGAGCAACAAGCTCACATGCAAAGCCAGCAACACCCAGCAGCTGCAAAAGCCGATGCCTTTGACCCGACCTTGCCAGACAGCAGCTTCAACAACTTGCAGCCCACCAAGTCTTCACGTCCAATTAGGCAGCTTCAACCCGGGTTGCTTCCCGCCGCTCCGAAGGCTGGTTGGACCAGAGTCGCTTGGTGCCGCTGCTTTTGATATTGTAAGACATGTCTCGAAAAACTCAGGCGATGACGGAAGGTAGGAAACTCTTCGTGGCGAAGCTGCCGACGGACGCCCATGCAAGCGCTTCTCTGTCAATCGCCATGCTGCCACGTCAGAACAGTCTGCACGACTTTGTAGTCCATGGCTCCAGGACATCCGTGAAGATGAGATGGAACAGGCTTCGCGACACTGCGCACCTTCGATATTCTGAGCCGAGAGTGTCCATGCTCCGCAGGTCTTCAGCACCTACGGGCCTGTCGAGGAGGCGGCACTAGGTCTACAGGCTTTATGCGACATGACTCACCCGACTCGCTCAGGCAATCTTGATGGACCAGAATCGCTCGAACAGACCTGACGAGGTAGCTGGAGCAATAAGAAGAGCGGGAGAGGGAGAGAGAGAGAGAGAGAGAGAAAGCGCGTCTTGCCTAGTCAGTCGGTTGTGGTTGAGACAGGGATAGGGAGAGCAGTGTTTTTATTCTCGCTGCTCCCTGCGCAGCGCTGTGGCTTCGTCATCTACAAGTCGGCGGATGCTGCGCAGACGGCGATCCAGGCGAGGTAACGCAGAATGAGCTTGCCTCTCTCAGGGTTCTTGTTACTTGCAGGTATTTTGAGGGTGAGTGTCGCTTCGTGACGCTGGACTTGTGGTGTTACGGGAGGTCTTGAACAACGTCTACCGCTTCCGAGAGGACTTGTTGCACCGGGGATGTCAGCGACACCACCAGATTGGAAGTCCCAGAAAATTCAGGAGGCCCCTGATGCCATCCACGTCAGCATGGCGCGGTCGCGTGCCAAAGGGGATGGCAAAGGCAAAGACGGCAAAGACGGCAAGGGCAAGGATTGCTCCAATCCTTCGCTTGCGAAGAGTGGGGTCTCGGGATCGGGATCTTGTTGTCAGGACGGAGGGCACGGGGGCCCCGGCCACGACCGCCACGACCGAGGCTTGTGAGAACTGTGAGAACCCAAAGCTGAGAACTGCGAGCAAAGCGCAGCCATGCGCAGGTGGCGGTGGCGGTGGTGGCGGTGGTGGCGGTGCCGGCTTCATGGGGCCGGGTGCCTGGTGGCGCCTGGCTGATGCCCCCCCATCTTCTCTGTGTCGTTCCGATTTTTTTTGTCCTTGCGAGGGATCCTCCTGGCCGGCCTGTCTACAGAGGCCCGGAACCGGACTCGGACCTGGGAGCGCAGAGCAGCTTCCAACCATCTCGCGCGCAGGCCAAGAGGTGCAACGAGGCGGATATGATCGAAATGATTTCGATGCACCACGCGGCGATGCTCGCAGATATGACTACGACCCCCCGGTTCGCTACGATGCGCCGCGGGGCTATGATTCTCGTTACGATGCTCCTCGTGGTCCAGACTACGGACCTCGGGGTGGAGGACGGGAGGAGTTCCGCCGGCAACCGAGTCGCAAGCTGTCTCAGCGCACATCCACAGTTTAGGTCTGTGGCTGCGGCACTGTGTGATGAAGTGTTGGTGACTTTCAGCCGGGGGCATTCACACGTCCCAGTCCCAGAGAGGGAACTCAAAGCAATCGCAAGCGCGGCGCACGCATGGAAGAATGCAGGAGGTCCAGCGCACGCCGCCATAATGCCTGGCTTTTTGTGTGGGTGGGCTGACCAGGAATCCGGTGTCGCACCGTCTAACGGAACGGGGCACGACCGATGCACGGAAAGTTTTTCGTTCTGGAGGGGGTGGCATGCCATCCGATGCCTTCTTGGCAAAGCAATGCAGAGCGTACAGCAGCTTGAAAAGGTCGATCTTTTCGAGACTCAGGGTAAAACCACGAGTTCTGGGGGGTTTGGACTTTGATGGATTCATGCACGGCACGTGTGACAGCGCACGCATGTTTCAGACCACTCTAAGCTCTACATACGGGGCATCGATGTTTGCTGTACCTTCTCCTTGTAAGAATGCGCGGGCGTGCAGGCGTGGCTTTGAGTCCCGCAAGTTGCCAAACGGAGCGTGAATCGAGAACAGGTTCCACGGCACTGGCTGAGAGCAGTAGTAATGCTTTTTTGAAGCTGGAGCCTCAAGGTCACGATCGTGGATATGCACGAGATGATCGAGGTGGTTACGACAGGGACTTCAGAGGTCCTGAGCGGGGTCCTGACAGAGGTCGCGACCGAGGTCCCGATAGGTATGATCGACCCCACGATCGGCCGGAGAGGCACGAGAGGTTCCAAGATCGTGACGACTACGATCGACGGGACAGAATAGATAGAGGATATGATCATCGACCTCCAGAGCGCGACTGGAACGACCGAGATCGGAGCAGCTACGATCGTGGTCCGGAAAGCTTCGACAGAGACCGCTTCGAGCGCCGCGAGCACTTTGGTCCAGAACGAGGCTTCGCAAGAGAGCGGCCCGAGCGACAAGGAGGCGTGGGAAATTGTGATGATGCTGATTTGAGTTTTGTTTGTTAGGTTGTCGTGATTAGGGGTGCCGTGAGGCTGCATGTGACAATGTGAGGCCTTCGAGAGGTTGGCCTTCTGTTTGCGTGAGGTTGCATCTTATCTCTTAAGCAATTTCAACATCTTTTTACACACGGGGTTGGGCTGGCAGGAGTCGCTGCCCATCGTACAGGGCACTTGCTCATGTGTGTGCCGTGACAATCCGTCCGTGGATTTGGCCCTCTCCTGGCACCAGCATCTTGTGTGGTGCCGTGGCGATTCGTGTTCGGAATTGACAACCTTCTCCTGGCGCGTCCTCCGGTAAGTGCGATCCATTGCGAAAATCCAAATGTTGTGCTCGAAATGACAGCCATGTCGGTGGAGCTGGCGTGTCGTGGTGCTGAGCGTGTGGTGCTGCATTGATTTGGCTTCGAAAAATCCCACCAGAACTTCGGGGAGACAATTTGGTCATGTTTGTTGTGTGAATCCCGTACGCGAGGGAAGGGCATCGATGCCGTGCTCCTAAGTCGCACCAGCACATGATGGGACAAATTGCAGGTTTTGAATCCGCCAGTACATCGGGGGAAGCATTTCGGCTGTCCTGAATCCCGCCCATCTTGGGAGAGGGACTTTCGTAATGTCTTTGACTCCCGCCAGCAGATGGGGGGAAGCTTGTGGACCGGGATTTATAGAAGGGTCCATGGAAGGGCTTTGTAGAAGGGCTTTATAGAAGGCTTGATAGAAGGGCTTATAGAAGGATTTATGACAGGGTATCTAAGCATATATAGAAGGGTTTCTAGAAGGGTTGAGTTTACAATGAATGGATAGATGCTTGGATGGATGCATGAATGGATGGACGGATGAACCGAGGGATGAGATAAGATGAGATGATGTTTGGTAATGGATGGGTGCGATGAGATGAGATGACTTTCGGTGCTGCCTCGCTGCGCTAAATGCTTTTTGGACACTCGTTCTCCAGTCCTCTTCATTGTCTATGCGAGGCTATGATGAGCGGCCGCCAGGTGGCCGAGATGGCGGCAAAGGAGGCCAAGGCCATGTCAAGGGGAGTGCAGACTCAAAATGGCGAATGCTCACGTGGCAGTCAGTGCTTAGATGCTGACTTTGCCACTGCAGGCGGCGCACCACGAACCAAGATCTATGTCGGGAACCTGCCCACTGATATCAGTAAGCAGGCCTCAATGTGTGATCTCAGGTCTACCACCTTGTTGCGATGTTTGGGAAGCCTACTGTAATTTCTCATGTTATGCCTTTGGGCAGTCTGTGCAAATACACACCGGGTGAATGCTCCTACATCGATGCAGGCCGAACACAGGACCTCTTGCCATGCAACTTTTGTAGGTGCCACGTGCTGTTTTCCAGTAGCCGGTTATGATATGTTTTGGTGGCTGCATTGTCTGCACATGTTGCGGGGTATAACAGCAAACACCTGGGGGTGGTGGGGGTGTCGACAAGGGAGACACCTTCCGAAGGTTGGGACCCAGGTGTCGGTCACGTGGTTGAAGAGTGCAAAGAGTCGAACATCAACACTGTGCAGGCCCTTTCGCAAGTGTTTAGCAGCTACGGGCCTGGCACTCAGTAGATGCCGCATCCAATTCATACTAACTTCTTCGCACAGCGCGCCTTTGGCATTCAGGCAGGTGGAGGATGTCCACATCATGACTGGCAGGCGCTCCGCGAAATGAGCTGCATATTTGTGAACGTGTCAGCCTTGCAGGTCGAAAAGCGGCCAAGCATCAGCTTTCGTGAGGTATTATAATTCCAAGGATGTCCCAGCCTTGTTGGAATCACTCTCACTTCTCTTGTGCTTGTATGACTCTAGCAAGGCCAACGATGCAATTCTTGCAATGGCCCAAGGGTGCGCAGCTGCAGGTTTATTGCTGACCTTTCCTTGTGCCTGCTTGGGTTTGGTTCACACATGCCCTGAAGCGGAAAGGTACGAGATCCGTCAGGGTGACGGGCACATAGTTGTCCGCCTGGCAGATGGCGAGGCACGTTCGATGCAACTTCGAGCGAATGGACGATATAGGAAGGGCAAAGGGTGGCTGTTGCAGGGCCCGAAGGGGGGAAGAGGCGGCGACAGATCGAGGCCGTACTAGGCCAGCTCTCCGGTGGTAGGCATCTTCTAGTTGTTGCAGTCGGTACTGTAGACACTTTTTCATCCGTGTTCAGTCATGCTTACATGTCAAACTGTCAGAAAAAGCTTCCAAATGCATCTGCCGCACCGGAGGCCTGGCCAGGGTATCTTTACTCCGGCTCTCGCACCAGCTTGTCTTAGCTGCGGTTGATTTGTCTCACCAGTGAGCGATAGAGTTGGCGCACTGGCCGATCAAGCACACGCTGCTGATCTCCTCATGATGTTGGCTTCCACTTCCAACAGCATGACATGCAGTTCACGTTGATATAGTGCTGTGCCGATTTCATGTGGTGGTTGCCATCGATGCTGTGTCGAAATGCCGCGGCGCCAAAAGAGAGTCATGACTTGTTTGAATTTCGGTGGTGTGGACCTTGTGTCAACGTGCCCGTTTGAGTTCATGGGCAAGCAAGGGCTACAGGTAAGTGTCGGTCTTTTCCTTGCTTGTGTGTGGATGGCCTACCAATGCTACATGTTAGTGGCTACCCTCAGAATGTTAATCCTGCTGCAACAGAAAGCACCACCATGTGACGGACCTTGAGCCTGGAAATTCTCGACACTTGGGACCACACCATCAGAGAAAGCGCTTGAGATTGGAATGCTGAGGCCTTTCACCTTCAGAACCATTGAGCTCTGTGACGGTGCCTGGTTCCTGGTTGAAGTCGTTTGCGAGACATGGTATGGTTCGCTCGGAATTGACTGGAATCCGCTGGCCTCTGCAAGGTCATCCTGGTGCCGGTCGAAGCCACAAGGATCAGCTGCTGTGTAGCTTCTTGCGTCGGCAGACGTACAACATCGTATAATCGTATAGTATAACAGTGATACTGTCAGAGCACCAGAGCGCATGATTCGTTTGTGCTCCTTGGACAAAACCTAGCCCGAAAAGCTCAAGTTTCTGAAAGCAAAGCCTGCTGTAAAGACTGTTGCGTGGGAGACATGGTTCGATTGAATATCACAGCACTGTTTCCATCGCAGCTGCAGTGAACACGCGCAGCCCTCCCCCGCTTGAAAAAGTCGTCTTCAGGCGGTGGTCGCGCCAAAATCCTCTAATCTCGGCACATAGCTTCTCGGTTTCTGGCGCCTCCTCGTCTAAGATGACGTGGACGGAACCCCGACACGCAAGACGATGCCCGGCCCTCGTGCGCGGGTACCCTGTGGCACCCCCGACTTCCGAATCCTGCGAGCACCAGTACTGCAGACTTGCTTGCCACAGTACCAGCCAACAATCGCCACACATCAGACAGCTCGGTGATTCCTCACTGGTCACTGCGCCTCTGCAGCCGGAAATTCCAGATGCACCTGTGTGCTAGCAGACTGTCGTTGGAAAAATCTACGGCATGTGTAGCATCACTATGTTTTGTCGAACTTCGTCCCCAAGGTCGGGCTTTCTAGACTCTGTTTGTGGCAGGAGAGCAGCCACAAGTCGGCTACCAGGGAGCTGATGTCGCGGGCTCGTCGCGTGACGTCGAGTGTCAATCTGTCAAGACACGTTCCGGCTGGATTGCTGCATTTGCTGGCATGATGCTGAAGGTGATCGCCCCTGGGGTGCTCGGGAGCTTTTACCTGCAGGGTGCGCAAGGGAAGCTGACCACGATTGCCAAAGTCTGGCTTGTCTTCTTTGCCTAAGGTGCACTGGCAATGATGCGCAGTGTCGGCAAAGATCCCAACGAGTCGCGCACTCAAGTTGCAGGAGTATTACCTCCTCATGCATCCGCACCGTCAGATTTTGTGCTACATGTAAGGTTGATAGTTCACCGAGACGCTGATGTGGGTATCTACGGCGTGCGCTTTTTCAAGGCACACTCCAGTGTTTTCACGTTGACGAAGATGCGACACCCGTCCTCAGGATGGAAGATGGATCTACGAGATTTTGGATGACCTTCTTCCAGAGTCGGAGCGGGAGCCTTCCGACCAGAACACAGGACATGACAATCGTCACTGCAACGGGCAGCCCAGGCAGCGACCACTCAGCAGCTCCTGCAATGGACAGGTGCGGGAGAGATTTCTCTACAATAGGCTGAAGCATAGGTGCAAGACTACAAGAGCTTTCGGCTGAACCAGGAATGGCCTGCCTTGATCGAAAAAGCGTGCGGCCTTCTTTCAGCTACCCGTGATTGGAGATGTGCCGGTGCAGGGATTGTCACGTGTCAAGGTACGCCAAGTTGCATGGATGTTACGAAGCCGTTGCCACTGGCGCAGAGGAAGATGCCATGGAGGACTGATGTGACTGTCTGTGAGTGTCACTCATTGCCTGTCTCAGCCTCTCCCAGGACCTCTTGGGAGCTGGCTCTGGGCGCTTTGCTGTAAGCGACTTCCCTGTGTGGGTGAGCCCCTGCTTCGCCGCCTCTCTCAGCACTGCTTCGCCTGGTGTGGTGTCAGGCAGAATTGTGGCAACATCTCAGGAGCAAGCCGGGTCCTTTCGAGGTGTTCGCATGTGTAATCTGTGTGAGTCCATGAGCTCCGAGGCGGAAAAGAGGCTTTGCTCTGGCAGCGATCCGGAGGATTCTTGAATGGCTCCTAACGTGTAACCTGTTCGCGAGACTTTAGAAGCCGCAGCAGTGTTGGACTCCTATGACAGCTGCAAGGAGGGAAGCAGCCGGGGAAGTGACCTCTCCGCAGAGAACCTCTGCACATCATGTCACCGTGCATGCCAGGTCTTGCAATCTACGCGCCCGCCTGTTGCCGAAGGTTGATGATGTTGTGACACAGCATTCACCAATAACGCCACATACCCTTAGACATAGTTTGCGCGAGTCAGCCATACTTCTTGCGCTGCAAGAGTCGAGAGTCTTGGTCCAGCAACAGCAAGACTGACGAGACATACTTAACGATATATTTTGGGTACATATGCTCTCGCTGGCGACGCTGCAATGGCGCTTTCACCGCAAACAGCGCGTAAGCGGACGTGCTGGGGGGCAAAGGCCGCGCGGCCTTTAACCCCCGCCGAGGCGCTTAGACTGAAGGGCTTCGAAGGTGAAGATGATGGCAATGGTCTGCGGAGGCTGCAGCGCACTCCTCGAGTCTTCCATCGATCGAACGACATTCGACACACCAAGCGAAACGAGCTCCGGGCAAACTTGCTACCATGCATCCTCCAGGTCGACAGGGCCCCTTCAGAGGGAGCTTGTCTGGCATCAGATGCCGTGGAGGAGCATTCTGAGAAGTACAAGCACTACAAAGGAATTCTGAGTGGAAGAAGCGAAGGTGAAAATGAGACTCAAGTTTTCGTAGAGAAGGACGCTTTCCCACCAGGTTGGGATCCTTCATGGCAGGCTGTGGAGGCTTGCCAGGGATTGCGAGACCTAGTCCAGGACAGGTCACTGCGATACCGAAGGCCAGTCGAGGAAATGGTGAACGTAAACAGCGACCTTCCCTTCCGACACGAGGCAGGGGTGAAAGGGTGGAGTGCTTGATCGCATGTTATGGGGCTCAACCATGCTCAACCTGCAGGACGCACCAGTTGATCTGGAAGAGCTCACAAACTCTTTGACGATCGAGTTCCAGAACCTCGAGAATTCTTGGAAGGGCACGAAGCAGGCATTCACGAGTCTTCAAATTGCTTCACGCGTGCCTTTGCTAGTCAAAGACCCTGGTGGCATGGCCTTGGAGACACAGTCCCTCCCGAATGATGTCCACACTCTCCGGCTGGACCTCAACCCTGGAGAAGTCCGACACATCGCTTGCAACATGAAGAGCCGGCACTTCAAAGGCGCCGAAAGCAATACATAGAGCATGACTGTGTAAACAAGGTACATATAGGTTTACGCATGTGTAGATGTATACATACATACACATATATATGTGTAGATGTAGATGTAGATGTGTATGTATATGTATATGTACATACACTATATCATGTACACATACATACATGCATGCATGCATGCATACATGCATACATGCATACATGCATACATACAAACATACCTACGTGCGTACATACATACATACATACATACATACATACATACATACATACATACGTGTATAATGTATGTACATATATATATATATATATATATGGTGTATACCTACATACACATGCATATGCATATACGTATATGTTTCTGGATGCGTATGTGTATATGTGTATATGTATGTATATATATATATATATATTTACACATACGTGTGTGTGTATATATATATATATATATTATAGAGTTATACAGAAGTATCTGTGATTAGCCTGCCGCAAACTACGGCTATTTGGTCGCACAGTCTAAACGACTAGACTTATTTGGTATTTGGTGCTGGCTTCTATGTAGAACAGGCACCTAAGCTGCTGCAAATGGTGGAATCTTAGGCACTTGCTCGGTTCCAGAATAGACTTGTCGGCACCCGGATTTGTGCCCGCTCGGCCTCGTCCTCCCAAACCGCACAGACCCTTCAGTCGGCCCCAACGGTCCCCAAGCGGCCAGTATCGAATCCCCAAGTACTGTAACATATGTATATATATATATATATATATGATATATCTCACAATACATATTCCCTGCCTCTGTGTGCTTCGAAGTTGGGTGGGTTCGTGTGTTTGTTGGTGTGTCTATCACTTGTCATGTAGCCTTCGCGCTTTGGACACGCGTTGGGAGGCACGGCCTTGGAGCGGAGGCTGGTGCAGCTCGTGGACCCGGAGCGGAGCGCTCTGGCGGCGTTGATGCGGGCTCTGAAGGCCCGAGAGACCGAGGCCCGCGGGCATGCCGCGGTGCTCAGCGACCTTTTGCGTGAGGTGGGCGACTGTGACTATCCGACTATCCCCCCAAAGGAACATGATCGAACATGCTTTTGTTCCGGACAGCCCTGGAGGTTTCCGTGCCGCTGCCTGCGCTGGAGGAGGAGCTGCGGCATCGAAGAGGCGACGCGGCGGGCGAGGAGAGGCTGCAGGCGCTGCTGGCGGACTCACGGCGGACCCTGGCACGCCTGTTGGCTGTGGCAGACAAGCTTGCCCCGGTCGCCGTGGCCCAAGACGTTGCGGCGTCAGCGCTTTGCAAGTCGAGAGCTCTCACGACCTGAGGCTCAGCCGCTTGCGGCTTCTCTGGCGCATGCCATTGATCGCATGGCTCTGATTTGCGTCAGAGAGGCCTGAAGCAAACCTCAAGACTAAGCAAGCGATACGGGGCGGCCCATCTCCTGGACATCAAGTTGTTTCTTTGGTCTTGCATTCAGCAGGCGCCATGCCACTTGAGCAGCTTGAGTTTGGGACATGCTTCAGTAATCCTAGCAGACTCGTTGGACTTTGGGGCAGAAGCCGTGTGACGACCGTCTCTGATGGTTATGGGAGGGTGAACAGGCTCTGAGCTCGACGGCTCGCGGATTCGGTACATCGGAGTCTCCGGATGTCGGAACAACCGCCCAACCGCTCTGCACTCCTGCCCGGGCTAGGTAGCACGCAGCCCCGAAGAAATCCCCCCGTATGGGTGGGAGTAACCGAGGAATATTCGCAAGAGAGTTCGATGCCGTAGGGGCCTCTCAACTTGACTGAAATGGACGACCCCCTGACCTTGGAGGTGGACCGAGTAGCCATCCGCTGTCATGAAGAATACGAGCAGTTGCTGCAGGTGGGTTGATCCACAAACTCTCCAGTTGTGCATGTAAACGAAACATGTAGCATATGTGCATCGAGAGGCCTTCTTTGAAAGCGACGTTGCCGTCCGACCCAGCTTTTCCTTCGGAAAGTTCGACTCACCCAGCTTTTCGCTTTTCACGCCCGAGGCGAGGAAGCAGGCGGAGGATCTCATCGAGAAGATCGGTGGCCTCAGCCTCAGAAGAGCCCGGATCAGACGCAGATCTCCTTTTCTGTTGCGCCTGGGAGGCCGCCATGCCAGCGGCGACCTTGCGAGCAGGCTGAAGGTCATGGAGGCTTCGAAGGGCAGAAGCACCGAAGCTCGAGCTCCAGTTTCTACCGGCACATGGTGCCAGAACGAGCTCCAGCAGCAAGCTCGGACCCACGCCAAGCTCATCGACGAGAAGAACAGCCTCGAGGCAACGGCTGTGACTGAAGCTGAAGTGCGGCTTGGGTTTGATCTTGCTGTACCACATGTAGTGGGCTCGCTGCTCCTCTCTGGTAATTCGGGAGTCGGGAGGGCTTTCCTCCGCCCTCGGCCTCTCAAGTCCCGGTGAGCCCATCCTCGAGGTGGCCCTGGCAGAGGCGGAGAGCACCGGAGTGCCCCGGCGACGAGGGAAGGGAAGCAGTTAGGCAGCCAACTTCCTCGCTTCGCAAGGCCGGACTTCGTGGCCGCGTGCGGCAGCTCGAGGAGGACGGCGACGTTTCGCCTCGTTGCTTCTGCGTCGCTCCGGTCTCTGGAACCATTTGGAGGAGATACTTCACCTCCGTCGCCGACAGCCAGCACAGCCAGCTTGGCCTGACGCTCAGAGAAGTGGCGACGAGTTGGCGATTTTTGTTTGTGGAAGGACGTCGTCTGAAGTGAAGTTGCCGGAGCAGAAGCGATGTCCGGCTGCGTTCCAAAAGTTGGGAGGAATCTCAGTGTCCTCGTGTAGGCTTATGCTTTTCAGGTGAAGTCGGATTCTGAGACTTCCTTATGCGAGATAGAGTCAGAGGACACCTTTGCAGAGGCCCAAACTCATCGGAGAGTTGGCAAGCTTGCAGACGGGCATGATCTCTCCATGGTTGGTTGCTCGAGCGGTGCGCCAGGCCGATCGGCAGGGCAAGAAAGATCGACCGAGATTGGAGGTTCCTGCGCACAAGTTCCTCTTAATTGGGATGCTTGCATTTCTTCTTGGTGCGAACTTGACCGTATCTCCGTCCTGCCACAAAAAGCTTCAGCCGAGAGGCATCGGTGCCCACAACTTGAAGAAGACACGGTGACACGATCAGGTTATGAAAGGGATGGACAGGAAAGTGTCCCAGGTCAGACAGGGCAGGAGTTCAATGCACGAGAAGGCTTCCAACCAGTTTGTTGTAGTTTAGACCAGCTGTGCATGGGTCTGCGATACTTCTGTATGCCCTCTCCTCACTTTGAGGAGCCTCATATGGTGTTACCGAGAGCAGCTGGAGCCTGACGGTGCTTTGCAGGTTGCGCAGCCTCCGCCTCCGGCGGTCTTTACAGTGGCCGGAACCGCCCAGACGGACACAGAGTTCTACTTCTGCAAGGGTGTGGCACTCATGGCATGGGCTCCACTGCTGCCAGTTGCGGCTGTCAGTTCAGGCGATGACTTCCAAGCACCCGAAGAAATTAGCTTCGATCTGCACAGCAGCATCTTGCAGCGGGATGCTCATTCGACCTGTGCTCTTATGTATCACATGAACGCGGGTCTTGCTGATTCAGGACCGTGCAGAGGCTTTACAAGATGCTTGGCAAGTACGAGCGGCCTTGCTGCACAGTATCTTGCTGGTGTGCCGCACCGTCACAGCGTTCCGCTGTCCGGACAGGTGGAATGCAAAGACGGGAAGCTTCCTGTATAGGAGCGCGCTGCAGCCATGGGATTTGGTGGCTTGCTAGGCGGAGAGGATTTGGAGTATAGCTTCAGGGTTGTAGCAGTGGTTGTCATTTACACACAGAACATTCCTCTTTCGGACAGATCTTCTTCAAAGGGCTTGCTAACTATCACACCGACAGACCGTGCACAATGTGTGCCGATGTCCTATGCAGAAAATGGATGTCGTAGGCAGTCAGTGTTGAGTGATCGGATAAATTTGCTGTCAGTTCCGATGCTACTTGTCCGACCACGTGTGGTTTCTTTGCAGGACGGATGGGAGTAGCTCCGACGAGGGTATGGAGGTGCGCTAGACCTTTTGGAGTCAGACTTGCGGGCTCTGCCGTTGCTTCGTTGCACAGAGCCAGCGCCACTGCAGGGCCAGCGCCGTCCCTCCATGGGAAGGTTGTCCCTGCGCAGATCTCAGCCCCATATGGCCATACGGCAGAACTCCTCCCTTTTGCCCCACCGCCATCCTGAACAGAACTTGTGAGGTTGGGCAACAATCGAAATGCGGCACCTCGGTTCTCACAGTCGGATTCACTCTTTCCGAAATCTCTTTTGCCATGCTTCGGCTTCGAAGCCAAGGATATTCGCAGGCTGAAGGTGAAAGTCCAAGAAGCGCACCAGCAGGCAGCAATCGCAATCGTACCGCACAGCCGCACAGCTGCAGCGGCCTTTGCGGAGTTTTCTCTCTTGGAGGCCGCCGCGTCGCAGCTCAAGGAGCAGCTGGAGCGCCTTCGCCCCGTGGCCCGGGCCCCTTGGGGCCCCAGCGCAGAGAATCGCAGAGAATCGCAGAGAGAAGAGGGGAGTGTATGGGAGTGTCTCGTGTGTCTCGTCTCGGAGCGTCAGGTAAAGGGAAGCTTCGATGAATGGCTGGCGAAGCTACTGAAGGACGGCGAGGGGACTTCAACATGCAAAAAAAGTGGGGAACGACGGGCCGAGCGTCTGATGTAGCTGAAAGAGCAGGAGTCCGGCTCCGACAAGCTTCAAGCTGGACGGTGCGCCCTGATGCTCTTTCGATGACTTTGACTCCTCTGCTCCGATAGGCTGCCGGATCCAGACAAGCTTTACGATGCGGTCATCCCGTGCATGTTTTTCTCTTTGTTGGCTGTTGTGCACTACAGAGCACGCGCTGAAAAACAGACTCCGCAGATATCAGCGAGCTTGCTTTCATCACTCCTCACGACTCGGTCCAAGCTTCAGCGGTGCTTCGACGCATTGCGAGAGTGCCGGAGCCATGTCCGCTGACCTCCAGCAGCGTGCCGAACGCTTGAGGCTACAGGCCGCCGGCTATATGCGAGTTTAACTGCGTCACGAATGAATGGATTCTGAGACGTTTGAGATTTGCGCGAGGCAGCCGAGTTGGTTCTGAGGACCCGACGGCTTGACGGTAGATTGCCTCTGCAGACTTGCCAAAGCATCCGTGCAGGAAGATACTGACCAGTGGATGCTTGGCTTCGCATTTGACGATGAAGCTAATTTCTCAGGTCCTTGCCGCGTCTCATGCTTGGGAGTTCATGGAGTTCTCTTGGCAAGGCGACTCGGAGCCAGATCCGTGCGTGCTGGAAGCTGCGGTTCTCGAGGCTTGAGTTGGTGCGCTGACTCTTTCCTTTTCGCTCCGAGCCGCAATGTATGCGATCTGCATTCGAGCACGTGCCGCGCAGAGACGCTTTGTACGGGTTCTTGGCAGCTCATTTTGTCTGAAGTAGCTGTTGGCATGAGCGGGAGCAGGTTCTGACGAGAATGCTGCGAAAAGGTGTGTCGTGTTGCATTGACGCGTATATTGCTCTGGGTTAAGAGGCAATCTGAAATGTCAATACTGTGACGGGGGGACTGCGAGGTGGTGGGGTCGCCCGTTCGCATTAGTTTTATGAGCCAGCTAGCTGCTAGCTACTCTGTTTCAGCTTAGCCTGCCTCATCGTGCTTGCGAGGGAAGAGAAGGCTTGCAGCAAGGAATCCCTGATCCCTGCACACACGATGCGCAGAGGGCGACGTCAGATGTGCCCCGGGCCGACTGCTATGCATGGTATGTAAAGTCAATCGTGAGACGAGGCGAGGTCCAGAGTCCAGTCGTCTGCCTGGATGTTGATTTTGCCCGTGTAGGGCAAAGTGGGATTGGGGCCATAGGGGTTACGGCCGTAGGGGCCTCGTCAAACGCTTTGAAACCGTGAGTAGCGATTGCAGGCCCGGCAACTTCCAGGCCAGGCTCCGGGGGCGGGAAATTGGAGTAGGCAGTGTCGCCTTTGACGGCCTCAGAAGTTTGCAGGCGTGAATGCCGAGCTGCTCTCGGCCGCCGAAGCGAAGCTCGAGGAGGCGAACAACATGCAGCAGCTGGAAGAGAAACCCGACGTGCTGCGAGAGCGTCTCTTCGACGCTGTGAACGATGGCGACTTGCCTGTAGCCACACGCTGCTTGGACGCCAATGCGGGAACATCTGCGCAGCTGTCCATAGACGTCACGGACCACGACGGGAATACGCCTCTCTCTGAAGCCGCTTGCTACGGAGAGGTTGAGCTGGCAAAGTTCTTTCTGTCAAGAGGGGCACACCCAGACTCTCGGAACGATCTGGGCCGCACCCCGCTCTGGAGAGCATGCTACAATGGGCATGCTGAGATCGTTGAACTCCTGCTGCAAAGTGGAGCTGATAAGTCCATCCCGAACAATCTGGGAGAGGAACCTGTGAAGTGACTAGACCACATGCTTGCACTGCGTTGAGTTTTGTAGAGTCCTCGTGTTGAGTCGTTCCACGATGTTTGAAGAGGGGGGGTTGTTGCAGGCATGGCACGGCTGCGACGAAGTCCTTGATCGAGTCCTGGGATCCGCTTGAAACCGCGAGGCTAAAGGAGGCTCTCAGCCTGGGCCCTTGGCAGAAAGCTGCACAGACAAAGACAAAGGCAGCCTCCACTACTTTGCCTCTTGCATCAGAGAGGACGGCGAGCCCGTGCCCTCGAGATGTTCAGATGTAAGTCCTTCCAGAGTTTTAGGGCGTTTTAGGGCCTAGGGCCTAGGGCGCTGGGTGTGTTGCAAGGGTGATCCGGCTGCCTGGGCCTAGGCTAGAGGAGATGATCCAAAGTGGAGAGGTGACCTGGCCTGTGAAGATTGGCTTGAAGGAGCTGCAGCTTGCCTTGATCGCCGCCCACGACTCCGGCAAGGTGCTCTGCTCCAGCTAGAGACCAGCCATCGTGAACTCTATGGCGCTTGCCTGTCACTGACAGGTTCCCTTGGTGATAGCAAACGGGCTGGAGCAGGTGGAGCAGTTTCTGCTTTACTCCTGCGATGGCTTGATTGACGGGAAGCAGCTGATCTCCGAAGTCTTCATTAAGCAAAGCGCTACGCTTGACGAAGCGCGTGAGCGGCTGAAGGAATCCCTTCTGCATCTTGTCTCACCTTAGACAAGACACGATGCATCAGCACACACCGCCTTGTACATTCTTGCGGCAAGCAGTCTCTTGGGTCTCCTGCGCAAGAGGTCCACGATGGAGAGTCACGGATCCGGCCTCTCACTGCACGTTCGCCTGGGGGACTCGGCCTGTGATTTCACCAACTTCTGTGCGCCAAACCTCTTTCCGGCGGAAGTCTTCGGTGGACCGGCGAGGTGGAACGACGAAGAGGCGCGAGCTTTGCCGTTTGCCCTTGGAAGGGGGCAGAGAGCTTTGCAGAGCTTTTCAGGTTCACCGGCACTTCCCGGATCCGATGGTCTGTTTCCAGCCAGAGTTCCGCTTGGAGCTTGTCTCAGAAGGGTCGAGGGTCTGTTTAAAGCACAGCCGCTCGATTCAAGAGTCCTTAGGTCGTGAGCTCTCGCTTTACCATCACTGAAGCCCACGAGCACCTGGCGGACAAGCTTCCATATTTCCAGGCTGCAGCCTGTGGCATGCTCGACTTCTGGCAGTTGTCTGAGAAATGCCTGGCATCCAGGACATGGCCATCATCGAAGTCGACCCTGGCTCTGTGGCGTGAGAGGGTTTGAATCCTGCATAAAGCTTGCACGGCAAAGCCATGCAAAGCCTCTCATTCCTTTTCCACGGATGCCCCCTTTTGCTCTTGGCATTTCTGTGTCACAGCCCGGCCGACTGGATGCACTTCTCGTGGAGAGACACAGACACAGAGCCATTCAGTTTCTTCTTCGCCTGTTTTGCTGGCAGGTCATGGAAGTCACACAAGGCGAAGGCAGCGGGCCTCAAGTCCCAAAGCCATTTGCCGAAAAGTGAGTTGCGACTTTGGGAGGCCTGCGACGGCGCGTAAAGGAATTGGAGGATCTTGATCCATTGGTGTTTGTCTGAAGCCTCGTGATCAACTCGAACGTGCCTGACGAGTGGAGTTTGCGAGGACAGCTTGAATCGATTGATCCCGGTTGCGGATCGCCTGCGACAGAACGAAGGACACCGCAACTTGGGGGTTTGGAGAGGAGTTCTAGAGTGGGCCTCCCTTTGTGGCTATAACAGGAGACGGGAGCTTCTGGAAGAGGGTCATGCGCTCCGTGAAGCACAGCATGACGGCGAGACGAGGCCCGGCCCGGAGGCCTGGGAGACTGGGACAGGCTTCTTTTAGTCCTCGGAGGATCCTCGGCCATGAGAGCTGAAGCAGTTCAGCGCCTGCGGAGCCCTTAAAACTCAACTGCAAACCTTGGCGGACGTGGCGCCGATGTTTGCTGAGTATGCCGAGGAATTCAGGCGCGAAGCTGAGCCAGATCAACACACTGGCCAGGTTGCATGGCCTGCGGCTCAGCATGAGCCTGAGAGACAGCCAAGAAAGTGAAGCCATGCGAAGCCCGTATGAAGGGGAACTGGCCCTGATCTGGCAGACGATGCCGCCAAAGCCGCAGAAGCTGGTGCCGTGCCGAGATACGGCAGAGGGAGTGCGTGGGATCCCAGTGTGGGAAAAAGCTGCAAAGCAGGCTGCTGGGACGTTGCTCCTTCGGCCCCTGGCACCACAGGCCATGGCACCTCTGATGCTGAGATTAGATGCGATCGCAGGATTCTGCCTGCAGTGTCTCCAGGTACTTCAGGAGGCCGTGAGGAACTACTACCTGAAGTCCTGCAACAGGCACAAGCAGGCGCAGAATTGCAGCTGTCCTCTTTCTTTCTTGCTCTTGCCCGTCGCAGTCTTGAGCTTACTGGGTTTCTTCACTTCTTGAAAGCACTTCCAGAACAAATCAGCAAAAAGGCCCTCGAACGGCGGACGTAGGGTGAGCGAGAGCTAGCGGGGAGGAGAGGTCATCAGCGTGCTACAAGGAACAGGTAGATGTGGATCAACATGCCTCGTTTTCGTCTCCGGCTTGAGAGAAGTTGAGTCGGAGCGATGTGCCTCGAGAACCGCGAAGCAAAGGCGATTGAAGACCTCCAGGTTAGACGCCGGAAACTGGCTGCAATTGTCATCCGGCTTTGTGCAACTGAACATCACGGCTTGGAAGCAATTTTGGCCAAATCTCAGAGCTGCCAAAGGGCTACAAAGAGTGTGACGCCGAGCGTGTGAGGTGGAGCAAGCCGTCTTCAACCTCTGCCGAGCGGCATCTGAGCTGGTTATCAGATGTTTTCACTGCTCTTGTTTCAACCGGCTGGCGACTGTTGACCGCTGTGTTCGGTCCACGGAAAGATTGGCAGGTGTTGCAGTTTGCGGCAAGCTACAAAGCTGCAGCCTTGGCAATCCTTGTCGGCAAGACAGGCTTTCTTTCTGCAATGTTCATTGACGCGATCTGAGGTGCTGCTCTTTGCAGTCATGTGCCTGGCACACAGCCTCGATGCACGAAGTTAGGCCATGGTAGCTTTGCAGAGTTTGGAGTTTGATGTTGGAGGCGATGTTCTCCAGCCCACAGAACTGGGTGGCCGCCTTCCCATTGTTGGATTCTAAGCTGGTTACTTGTGTCACAGCTCACAGACGGTCCCTGAGCTTGTTGGTGTCTGAAGGTTGCTCCAGAGGCTCGATCCTACCTCCCTAGCCGTGGCCTTACATCCTAAAAACCCTCGAAGCATCACTGGCTCCGACACCCGCAGCGCTAGACATGAAGACCTTTTCAGACTTGAACGCAGCGGCGACACCAGACGCGATCGCGTACTAGCCACCGTACGAAAGAGCAATTCTGCCGCACAGCCCGGCAGAGCCAGCAATCTCTTGCGCGAAGGTATCGGGATTAGTATGGAGCAGCTTTGCTCAAGACGGCGAGACGCAGAAATATCATAAGCAGATCTTCAAGGCAGCTTGCTGCCAAGCAGTATTTCCTGCCCGACGCCTAAATGCGCCGTTGCAAAACAAACTACTGGTCCGTGTCCGAAGACTTGAAGTGTTCCAGGACGTTTCCATTTTTGCACACCCCTCTGTGTGATTCTTGTTTTGCTTGCAATTTTTTGCCACATGCGGGCCGGTGAGGCCTAGAAGTGTCGAGTTTGGCCAACCTTCCCTTCGATGCTTCTCTGCTGCATTGGCTGATGCTCCAAAGATCTGCTTCACAGCAGCACTGCCTGTCTTCCAGGCCGTGCACACCATGAATGAGTTCATGACAGCCTTGAAGAACATGAGACGGTCAAGGATTTATCCTCCAGTTCATGCTGCTTCTGATTTTTTGCTTCCATCAGCAGTGCCTTGTTTGTGCATTGCTTCGTGCTTTCGGCCGATCCAACTGCCGACCTGCAAGATCATCATCTGAAGCAAGCACGGGTTCTCCTGTCCTAACACTTCTTCCGTACGGGTCAGCCGGATACTGTGATGCGCTTTCTTCATTCTTGCACCCTCGCAGGATTGTCTGGACACCTTGCCACTCTAGCCTTGTCCATGTGAAGAGCACGAGTCAGAAAGCAGTCTCGTAGTTGCGACATTACACATCATTGCACCACTCCAGGACATTCCATGGTGCTGGAGATGGTAGCTTCGAGCGTGTGAGCAAGGATGGTGGAGGCGATGCAGGCGCTTGTGGGTGGGCCCACATCATGCACTTTCTGGTTGTGAACGACAGGCAGCCATTGTCAGGGAACTGATTGCGATTTGCCACGGAGTTGGTTCCGAAGCTTCCGTTGTCGAAGCGATTGTATTGCGAGGCCCCGAAGTGGAACGAGAAGATGTACTGTTGCCGCTCCCGCCTCTGCCTCAAACCCTTGGCTGTCTGAAGTTCTCGGAGTTTTGGACGTGTTGACAGAGTCATTGTCCAGGCTGGTCTTAGCTGCGGCGGAGGTTGTGTGTGGTAGGAGCAAGGCATCGCCCGAGACGTCTAGCTATGATTGCATCACCATGATTCGCTCTGCCCAGTTGACGGCCGAGTACTTCAATGTCATGCTCATGGGATACTCCAGGACAGCAAGCAGCCTCAAGCGGCCCTAAGCGTGGTTTGCGGTTTCGTCGCATCTGCTCTCATCGATTGAGTGACTTGAAGGCAGCCTCGACTGCTGCCACGTCTTGACGAGGTTCGCCGACTGTGCTGGGTTTGCTGGGTCGGGTATCAGAGACAAGTTGCTGTGGCAGGAAGCTGAGCCTTCACCTTCCGAGAGCCCCGTCGAGGCCAGAAACGCTTCGCGGCCCGACGCATCGCCTCATCACTCCTCTTTCCGCCGCAGGGCTCTTCCGAACTCCGTTCCGCATCGAGGCGCCGGTCCGACGGATTGGAGTTTTTCTCGCGGCCGTTGCGTGCTGGTGCAGGAACTCCGAGTCCAGCCTCGCTTCCTCCGAAACAGGAGGAGAGAAGCGAGCCCCCACGCAGAAATGGTGAAGCGTTTTGTTGTTTCTTGCAGGAGAGGAGTCCGATTCGAAAGTTCCGACGAAGGTGGAAGCACGATTGCATCCATGCCACATAGGCGAGCATCTCGCAACTGTGAGGCTTTGCTGGTGTCGCACCTCCTGGCCGCAGACCGAATGCGCCGACATCCGGAGATGTGGGAGGCTCTTTGCCCACTGCCCGCTTTTTCTTGTCTGTGGCTCTCCGCCTTGCGCTGCTGACTGCAGGAGACGGACTACTTTGTCGACAGCCTTTGGGAAGCTGTCATGAAACGAGTCAACCCGACGAAGGCACGAGCGATTTCCGCCGGAGCGCTGTTGGAGCCTTTGACAGTAACTGCAGGTCTCCCACTTCTCCGTGCTTTCCAGTCGAGTGCTGAGCCGGCAGTAGCCTGCATATCCTGCATCCTCCTCCGAAAAGCCGCCACCGAGATCGTGTTGAACTCGCCGAAGCGACGGTGGCAGCGCAGGCCAGGCTCTGTGACGGCGAAGGTGATGCTGTGGTGGTGCCGCGATTCAGAGGTCACCATCGAGCGCTTCCGCCTGCAGGTTGCTGCCTGCTTGGGTCATGTGAGGGAACCGGCTCGAGTTCATGTTGTTTCTGCTACAGCGCACTGTTCCCGTGTAAATAAGCGCAAACAAGGTCGCAGAGTTTCGGTGCGTGTAGTCGTGTTTGGCGCCCGGAAAACGCGAGCTCATAGGAGACACCTGGAGGAGGTTTTCCTTTTAACCTCCGGTCCTGCACCTCGATTCCCCAAGCTAAGCGACAGAGCCACTTGCCCGGAGGTTCCGGAGGCTTTGGTCGCCTCAGCGCTGAAAGAGGTACAGCCAGGTGGTGCTCCTTTCGCATCTCGCCTGCGTTTTGAGTCCAGAATCAGAAGTTAGTTGGAACGTGATGTGCTGCAGCGGTCATTGTGGCTCTGCGGCAAGGACTCCGAAAGGCGCCAGAAAGAGGGCTATGTTCCCGACTCGGGGGTGCTCGAGACTGCTTTTGTTGTTGGCTTCGTTTTTTTGCATCTGCAGGTGACCAAGGAAGCTGTGGAGGTTATCATGCATCTCTGGCGCCAGTGCGGTGGCACCCTTGAGTTTTTGGGCAGTTCCATCATTTCACGTCCGTCACTGGGCCACCGCAGGGTTTTGCAGGTGGTGCTGCAAGTGTGTGTTGCACGGAGAGCCACGTCCCGCACCTGGTGCTGGTGAGCTCATGCGGTTGCACTGCTTGCGGCCACACTGCTTGCGGCGAGTCTGCTGCCAAGGCTCTCTGGGCAGTTCTGTGGGCCTTGGCGCTCGAGCGTGGATATGAAGTGCAGCTCATGGGCCGTGGGCCCAGTGGAGCCCCATGGCCAAGACTGCAGCTGCGTTGTTCCAGTTCCCAGCAAATCTACAAGACCCCAGAACCCCAAGCAGCACTTGTCCTGCCTGGAGGGGCTCCGCCCCCATGCACACCCGAAAGCATCAGCCCGCCAGGCCGATTCTTCGACATCTTCGACGAGTCCGGCGATGGCTCACTCCAGTCTCTCGTCTCTGACAACGGGCCCATAATGCTTCCAGACGATGATGTCCGCGAGCACTTAGATACGGATGCATTTATGTCCATATGTATATGTAATATCCTCGCATGTGGTATACATACACACGCCTATGTACATACATACGTACATAAGTATATACACAAAGACATGCGGTGACAGACACTTATGCACGGACATGCCTAAACAAGCACACACAGACTCGTATAGATGATCCCGGTTCGGCCGGGTCCCCCCCCCTCCCCTCCCCGATGGTTGGTACCCCTTCCTCCCCCCCCTTTGTGGTGCGGTGTGGTTCGGGATTTGGGTCTGCTTGGAGTCCCGCCCCCCCCTGTGGTGTGGTGTGGTTCGGGGTATGGCGGCCCCTTGTGGTGTGGTGTGGTTCGCGGTTTGGGTCGCCCTGGGTTTTTCGAAATCGTCATCATCATCATCATCATCATCATCATCATCATCATCATCATGTTCCTTTCTCGGGTCAACTGCCACAGGAAGCGGGCCTGACAGGAACGCGATCCTGGTGACAGTTGCATTTTCACTACCCTCATGACAGAGTCCTCTGTGGAAAGTGTCCACTGTGACAGGGGTCGGTTGTGTTTGGGACGACATCCTCGTGACGGTTGATGGTCTTGGAGCCGCCATGTGGGAGAAGCACGCGCAGTCACAGGGATTCGGCATAAATTTGGACCTGGGCATGCCGGAAGGGGGGGATGCCATGGGGGGGGGGGGGCGTTGCGAACCGAGAACCCAGATCATGTATGTATATACATATATATATATATATAAGTATATGGTCACCTCCCCCCATGACAGACCATCCCTTCAAAACATCGTTCCCACCGGCGTGTTCGTGCTTTTCCGGGGTATCGA